CACAAGATCCATAGAGGCTGGGGTCTATCACACCAGGCGAGACCCCAGGTGCAGGCTGTGTAAAGATGCCCCTGAAACAATCCAGCACATAACAACAGGGTGTAAGATGCTAGCAGGAAGGGAATACATGGAATGCCATTACATTAAGTGGCCGGAATAGTAGACAGGAACATCTGTATGGCCTGAAAGTCCTGAGGTCAAAATGGAAGATGCCCCCCTAGGGTGGTGGAGAATGACCGAGCTAAGATCCTGTGGGATTTCTAGATACAGACAGACAAATGGGTTTGGCTAACCAACTGGACAGAAAAGTGGTGGACAAGCAGAGAAAGACGGACATAGTGATAGATGTAGCAATATGACAGCAACATCAGGAAGAAGGAACACGAGAAGCTGGAGAAATACCAAGGGCTCAGAGAAGAGCTAGAAAATATGTGGAGGGTGAAGGTAACGGTCGTCCCAGTGGTAATCGGAGCGCTCGGTGCGGTGACTCCCAAGATAGGAGTGGCTCCACCAGACCCCAGGAACAACATCCGACATCTCTGTGCAGAAGAGCGCAGTCCTGGAACAGCAAAGATGGATCTGCGTAGGACCCTCAAGCTCCGAGGCCTCTGGGAGAGGACCGCCCGCCTTATATCCAGTTGTTTTTTTCAACTTTGTGTGATTTTTAAACTTCGGAATGGAAATGAGGGAGCAATATAAAACTATCCTGTCATGCATCAAAAATTAGCTTTAATAACCCGTTTTTTGTCCTCTGTACAGAAGGCTGAAAATCTATTTCTGCTATAAATTTGGGTCTGCTATGACTGACTTGTGAAGAGTGAAACAATCGGTCATAATAACACCACATGAAGTAGATTATTTATCTGCATCCTGTGGCTTTTCTCAGCTAAACGTCATCTGAAAGAGGTGAAACTTCCGGGCTGACCTAATCACTCTGCAACATTCATCCTCACACAGCGGTCTGTACAATAACTTTCTGCAGTCTCAACTGCTAAATGCAATGATGGAATACTCCAGAGACGAGTACAGGAGGCTGGAAGTCTTCAAAATGCACCGTTCTCTTTTTATTGGATCTGTGCTGTAGCATCATACCATAATGCTAACATATGCTATTATAACTGTGGTATTGCAACATTCTTTAGTTCAATGTTAAGCTAAAATAAAAGTCACTTTATCCTGAGGCGGACTCCACGTTTAACTTCAAAATATGTCAAAAGCAGAAAAAT